TGAAATGTGTGATTCATTACTGTTACTGACTTATGTCTAGTTGGTATTAATTTTTAAGTTATGTACTTTAGGTTATACGGTTTTGTAATATTATGAGTTGTTTTATTTTGAGTGTGGTGTGTTGTTTTGTTGTGTCTTATTGTTCTTGTTGTGCCTTATGTTTTTTGTGTCTCATTGTTTTGTTGTCTTATTGTTTTTGTTGTGTCTTATGTCTTTTTGTCTTACTGTTTTGTTGTGTCTCATTGTTCTGTTGTTTCTTATTGTTATTGTTTGTGTTGTCTTATGTTTTTTGTGTTATTGTTTTGTTCTGTTTCATTGTTCTCTTGTTTCTTATTGTTTTTGTTGTCTTATGTTTTTTTGTGTCTTATTGTTTTGTTCTGTCTCATTGTTCTGTTGTTTCTTATTGTTATTGTTTGTGTTGTCTTATGTTTTTTGTGTTATTGTTTTGTTCTGTTTCATTGTTCTCTTGTTTCTTATTGTTTTTGTTGTCTTATGTTTTTTTGTGTCTTATTGTTTTGTTCTGTCTCATTGTTCTGTTGTTTCTTATTGTTATTGTTTGTGTTGTCTTATGTTTTTTGTGTTATTGTTTTGTTCTGTTTCATTGTTCTCTTGTTTCTTATTGTTTTTGTTGTCTTATGTTTTTTTGTGTCTTATTGTTTTGTTCTGTCTCATTGTTCTGTTGTTTCTTATTGTTTTTGTTGTCTTATGTTTTGTTGTGTCTTATTGTAGGACCACTGCCACCGGGTAAAAACCCATTTGCAGTCAAATAAATAATAATAATATCAATTAAAGGGAAAGGAAGAACAGTGATATAAGCAGGAAACAGTCCTTATCACCACATCCTGACATTCAGGTGGCAGGTGCTAATTTAAAAGTCAGTCCTCACAGTCCTCATCTGTGTGCAATTTATATATATTTTTTTTTCCTGTTGACAAATTGTGTATGTAAATACACACAGTTCTTCTAACTTACCTTACTAAAAGCTGGAGACTATGAGTCCATTTAACAAGTGTTGTAACCACAAACTTAATGTATAGTTCAGGTATAATCAAGCAAGTCATATTATCACACATTTTAGGCATACATTATAGGCAAAAATAAATCCCAATGCAAGTCATATACACACTACTGGGTACCCAGACTTATGAGAGACTAAGCATGATGACCTCTTCCCTCAAGTAATGTGTGTTACAGATCTGTAACATACCTGGTAACAAGTACTGCAATGATAATGTTCCTTCCTCTTTAGCTTGCAGAATGGGCGGCTGCAGGCCTGATCAGGGCCGTAACGGATATGGCGTTCAAGTGGCATCCAGTCTGGCCTTGAAACCATGTCATGTTGCTGAGACTGCTGTCGCAGGAGACGAGACAATGACTGCTGAGACCCTCCTTCAGACCCAGTAGGTTCACTCTTCACATCTGATAGTGATAAGAATTTTATTGCTAAACCAATCTCCTATCCCAGACCTAAGAAACCTGTACTCACTAACACAGGTTGTGTAGTCTCACATCTCTTACTTTTACTGTGAATGTTACAGAGATAATGAAAGATGCTGGGTTAATAGTCAAGACAGAAGGGAACATAGTCTAGTTCAGAATTTCCAAAATATTTTTGTCAGCAGAATCCATTTTATTACTGGCAGAAACCCATACAAATAAACCACAACTGTGAAAAGAACAAAAAACAGAACACAGGGTTTTACAGCATAAAAAAGGAAATGCCATTATGTTTCATCACTTCCTTCAACCACAAATCCATTACAAATGATACAAATTCTCATATCAGACGAAAGCACGGGAATGAAATAAAGTACCGATATATTTATGACAATACATAAAAAGCTGAAGGGTAGGCAACATGCTTCAGAATTATGTACTTTTCCTCATATAATATTGAAAAGAGTAGTTCCAAAATTCACTCAGTCCATTCAGAGTTTTATAAAAGGAACACAACCAGGTGTATAGGTATCGAGATTAAGAAATTAGGCGTTTACATGTAAATCTACATAAAACTAGTGGAGAATCAAAACATCCCTGATTGAATTTTATACATTGAATTCACATTCATTGCACAAATGTTATAATAAAAACAAATTACACCCAAATAGAAGGTTCAGAAGGCAATGACTTTAAACCAGAAACATGATTGATTCTCATAGAGTAGAGTTTGTATGCCTTCAGTCCAAAATGTTGATTACTCAAGTATCCCCTATGTATCCACAACACACAACTGTCTGATGTTTCCCTCTAACTAAAATAAAATATCAGCTCATAAATACAGAGAACGGCCGACAATGTTTCTCCATCAGGAGAGAACATAGCTTAATATACAACCATGACAGGTGCAACAGCTATCAAAACAATGGCAACAGAAATCATGCAGCAGTTAATGTGACACAATGTTAATGTAGTAGTACTGGCTGGGGGTATGGGTCAGGAATGAGACAAACAACACTGGAGACAAGCTGGACAGGATGCCATTAGAGTAGGATAAAATGGAACATGATCCTCACGCACCTGTTCCAGAATGCTGTCTGTTCCTGCGTTCTGATGACGTTTCGTTGTTTGGCACGGTGATGATGGCACCACAACGAGGTTGAGGAGGGGATGGAGGGGAAGGGGAAGTCCCCCTGGATGATCTGGATATACCACCCACCTTCCCCAGCAATGTGGAAGAGGATGAGCAAGAGGAGGAACCAGGATTCAAACCCGTACCAGCACCACCACACGAAAACGCAGACAGCGGGTAAAAAGTTCCCGAAGCCTTCACCACTAAAGACAGAAAACCAAAACCATGGTCACACAGACACACACAATGTGCTATGTCATGATGCTGTGTTTTAAAGTATGAGTTCCTGCAACCAATGGGTACAAAGGAAATCTATAGATGACGACAATGAAACACAAAGGAAGAGGTTTTCACTACAAAGGCACTTATTTTACAACTCCATAATTAATTAAACAGGAACTTCATTTAGACTACTATTAGAAGTATGCAATTAATTGGTCTGCAACTTCAGTATTTGCATTATCTCATGTCCAGCTGCCAGGATCAGCTATGTACATACTCCAAAAAGTCAAAATTATATGCAGGCTGCATTACTGTTAAAATTGCAGGGTAGAAAAACAAATTTAGCACTAAACCTCTAAATTCATAAAATACATCTATAAAATAGAGAAAATGTATTAGATTTGGAATCAAATTTCATACTGTATATTTCATAGAGCACACAAACTATGGATCTTTCAGCGGAAAATTGTTGATGATTACATTTCAGTAGACAGCCATACATGGCATGTGCAGCGACAGTCATGACTTGCCTGCGAAAGTGAGCATCAAAATAGGCATGGAAATAGTACTGACCAGTACAGTAATGGTAGATTTAACGAGACTCAAACTACAAACTTCAGTACAACTTTGTACAAGGAAATTCCACACTGAATGAAGATCAGACAGACAGAAACAAGCCCTAAGATTACAGCTACAGAATCAATACATAAAACCCCAGTACACTGTAACAAGTAGTGAGTAATTATAAGACATCTTAATTTACTACTTTACAGACCTTCAACGACAGATAACTTTAATATCATTTGAATTTGTGTGACAACACAAATATAACTAGTACTTCTAAAAATATAGTTCATCTTCTTATGCACTGGATTGCATTGTATAAGAACATATTTAATTGTGAAATCAGAAGGCTTCCTTTAAATTTTATTACTAGAACATTTTAAGTGATAACCTGCTCATTCTGACAACAATAAGTACCATGAGTTCTGCACAAAGAACCTGTGTAACATGCAACACTTATTATTTGTTGCAGGTTCTGTGGTATGTTATAGAGTCTGCGAAGTTGCTTCAGTCAGTTGTTTTCATATTCATGAAGAACTTTACATGTATCCTGCAAGCTTATGAATGTACAGTGTGTCTTATTAGGCACCCGAATGCTGTACATTTCGCACATATTACAAAATATTATCATAATGTTAGAGTCTTGACACTGTTTACATATGCAGTATTTAAAGCACAAGCTGTTTATCTTATTAATCAATGATCCCTCTGCCATGTTAATCACCTTACCTGTGGTTTTGTTTGTTGATGATTCTGGTGATGGAGCAGACATCTGGGGTGTCCTTATAAGAACTGGGGAGCCAGCAGTGGGTGACAAAGATGAACCTTCAGCACCAGATCCCTCTGACTTGATGTGGACTGGAGAGACTGCTAGAAAAAAGTGGCACCACAGGATTTAAATGCATACATCTTATAATATCTGACACCTAGCCATATGTCAATAGGAATGTTGAAGTTTAGTACTAACAGTAATGTGTGTTTATACATTTCGATCAGATATCATAAGAAGGAAACTGAGAATAGGGAAAACTGGAGAGCTCTTTTTGGGCAGAGCAATGGACCTGTCGTCAGACAGAACACTGAATAATAATAATCATAAGAAGACTTCATAAAATCCAAAAACATTGCTTCTGGATTATATCGGCCAATCAGGATGAAAATTAATTTTTAATATTTCACTTAATATCCGCAGAATGTTAATATGTTTCAGACAACAACCATATGGCTCAGTGGGATACTTCACAGTATGTACACTTTGCCTCTAAGATAGACGTAAGATCTTTATTAGAAAGTCAGAAATAAACTCAAATGATAATTTGGGATACTCTCATAGGTACAAATGCATAAAAAAATTTGAAAGTTTGGATTTATTCAAGATCAAAAATTTGAATGTTTGACATCACTAATATCCATATAAAGTAAATCAGTTACAGATTTTCTTACCTGGTTCTTTCTTCATACTCTGGCTGCCTGTTAGTATTGGTGACTCACAACCTCGATGATGAGAACTGGATGTTTCTGGAGCAGCTTCATTAGCCTCCTCCATACCACCACCATTTCCACCATTACGATGTTTCTGCTCATGGATGGCCATGGTAGAATAACGCACAAATGAATATCCACAGCCTGGTCGTACACAGTGGAAGTGCCGATTTACTCTGTTACTGCATACATTACATCATCATTAGACATTAAAAAAACATACATTTCAAGGATCAGTTTATAAAGAAAACAAACATGCATATTCCCAGAACTGAATTTTGACATTGTTACCCAATGGTTTAACCAGTGGCGGGTCGTGAGTCTGAGCAGTGACAGTGCTGCACAAGGGGGAAAACTCAGAATAGTTTTTCAACACATAACAATATAAATAAATGAAAAGTAAATTTACATCAAGAGAAAACCCATACGTGTTCGACAATGTTTAAACTATTTGTAAGACCGGAAGAGGGCAGCCATGATTTTTTACATCACTTTTTTCAGTCAAAGACAATTTAGAAAAAGTAATTTGCTGTAACTATAATACACTTCCTTTGCCCATGATCATTATCAGAACAAAAAGTCAGCACACAGAATTGCTGAACACTCGTTAACAATAACCACAAAACAGTTTGTGATACAGAAACCAGTCTAAAACATGTGGTACTGAGCAAGCGCGTTTACTATAAGCCGGCTGCAGGGACTGCAGCTGATACGCGCTGTACCAGTGAACTGCCCCTCACCCCACCTTGCACCACGCTATCTACTTGTGACAAGCAGATGGATCTGTGAACCTTGCAGCATAGACACACAGGCTATAACACTGAACTGCCCCTCACTCCACCGCCTGCCGCGCTCTCTACTTTTGACCAGCTAGCCACGCTGAAATCCTTGCAGCCAGATGATAGCCCCATTCTGCTTCGCACTCCTCGCCCGCCTCAGTTCAGACAATTAGTAAATAATGACAATGTAAGGGGAAATATTAAAATAATGATATAAAGGAAATAAAGTGTTACAAATTATATAAATACAAAAAATAATTTTTTTCAATTTTTGGAAAATTATAGGGGCTGCTGCAGCTCTTATGGACGGGCCGCCACTTGGTTTAACCCCCTGAATCATCATGTTATAGACCAAAGGTTCCCAAAGCGTGGGCATGTTGTTTGTATGAAAAACGTTTTCTTAAAGAAATATGGAGAAACATTTTTAACATCCTTTGCTTGGTTGAGGCAGTTTAGTTGTCTTACAGTGCTGTATACTCATAGCTAAATTTTATGTCAATGAAATTTATGGAATGTATTAAGGGGGCCGCAAGGTATAAAAGTTTGGGAACCTCTGTTATAGTTCATTTAACTGAAATGCTTAATACATCACTGCATTTTGCAATGATAAGCATGGCAGCAACCAGTTATTACAATGTACTGAATTAGATGCAAAGAAGACACTATCAGTAACGTTCAACTACATTGTGTATTTAATCTTCTATCTGCAAACTTGCTGTGTGATTTCTCTCACCAACCTTTTGTTTCTGTAAATCATTAAGGAAGAGATGAGAAGTGGCTCAGACTAGCTCAAGGCATTAGTGTTATTGAATATTCAGGCTCTCCTACCAGAGATTTGACTTTGTTAATTACACAAAAATTCAACTTCTTCTGGTCATGAAATCAGGCCAATAATAACCTGTTTCAGCCTCAAGACCCTACTGATATTAAGAAACATGTCTAATTAATGGGTGAAAATAATTTATAACCCAAGTGGGTATTGTAAAACAGAACACTTCCTCTTACATTACACTACATCTTGATAAGTTATCATCACATACTCTAAGAAAGAGAAGTCACATTGAAAGATGTGATATTACTCACCTATGGCAGGATGGGAGACGACAATCAACAGTCCGGTCAAAGAAAAGGAACCCGTCCATTATGTCAATGTTGTCATGGAAATCTTTGGAGTGCATGATGAGTATATCCTCACGGTCAGTGACATAGAAACAGCGTGGCTGACTACAGTGGAAGTGCTGACACCTGGTGTTGTATGGGCACAGTGCATCTGGACATGGTGTCCCTTCAGGAAATGAGTAGAACCCTTCTTGTAGGAGATCAAGCCGATGCTGTACAGCGAACGAGACAAAATTATAAGATGTCCCTTTACATCAACAATTTCCTTTATTCTGAAATACACAGCAGTCACAAAGTCTATTCCAAAATGAATCATTACAAATATATAAACATATGTTACAAGCATACAGACTTCTACATGTAGAGGAAGTGGTTGTAGCTCATTTAAAGCTACTGTTTGAAATTTGCTTATGCACTGGGATGATTACTATGAAGACTATAGGAAATGTACATTTGCATGAAAGCATTGAGAAAAACCAAAACAAATTTCAGGATAAATGATGTATTGCCAAGGTATGAAGTCAACGTGTTAATATAAAGCTAACCTGCTTAGCTATAATGTTCCATTGACCCATGATATAGCAAAGATACAAAACCAACAACAACAAACTTATGTGATCATAACAGCATATTATAAACCTTACTAGTAACTACCTCTACCATATTTACCTGAATATAATAAGAGAAGTTTTTGTAATGTAGCATCTAGTAAAAGAGGGATCATCTTACATTCAAAATGAAAAAGCAAAATACCTCATGAAAATAAATGTTCACAGCACTTCTAATATGAGGGTTGTACAATAAATAAATTCAGAGTGCATGTTACACTAATGTTTATTACTTGTACATACTCAACCAACAGAACAAGTAACAAAGAACAAACCCTCTATTTATCCATGGAACTGCCAGAGTGACTGAGACACGTGCCGACCAATACACAACCCATCTATTTTTGCAGAGAAGAAATGAAGTTGCATTCACCTAGCCAGAATAAAGTGTTTTCCTTTCAAGTGTTTCTTCAGTGTTCTGATAAAGTGAAAGTTGCTTGGTGCAAGGTCTGGGACACATGAAGGGTGGGCAAGACTGTTCTTACACTTGCTGATGCCACTGTAATCCCACAACCTCTCACTTATTTAACAGAAAAGCAACGATCTTTGTAAAAACAATAATAAATTTTCAGTTATTAATTTACTTTTACACCAGTCATTACAATGAAATTTAATTTAAATGAATGCAATTTGTCAGTACACAGTTATAATGAGATATATTCAGGTAAACATGGTAGTTATCTATCAACCCATGCTTACAGGGGTGGAGCTTTTGGAGCTGTCTTCTGGACTTGGAGGTGAAGTTCCTGGATTGCTCCCTTGACCCTGTTCTGTATGCTGAGTTTGTATCAGCCCAGGACCTGTAAATCCTCCACCAGATGACATGACAGAGGGCTTGGGAAGCTTGAAGCTTGTAAAGATGGCTTGAGGAGAATCCAATGCCGAACCAGGAGCCATGGGAAACTGGACAAGACATGATGGAAAGAGAATCAAGTACCTGCTCCCAAAAACCATAACTGTAATATCTAGAGCTTTGTACTGTAATTATTAAGAAGCACAAGTGAAAACGAGTAATATATGAGGCTTCTGTAAAGCCTTTCATAATCCACTTAAACAGCATGCATTAAATATATCTACTGTACAATTAGAGTTTATAAAATATAATTAAAGCAAGTAATGTTCAACAGTTATCATTTAATTTCTATCATAGATGTGTTATAATATTGCATTTTAATAAGATTCTTCAAGTACTGCACATGAATTTCAAAACATGAAGTATGAAGAATGTAAAGAAACTGGTGGAATCAGACAATTGTGTGTAGTGAACAATTTTGCCAATTCTTTCTTTTGCTCCTGCTATGGTTTTGTGTTATTTTTCACAGAAATTTATGGAGTGGAATACAACACTCCAATTATGAAGAAATTACAATATTAATTTCACTGTATGATAAGCTTTCAATATGTAAATGTTTGTCACAATTGCTGATTATTTGCAGAGACTGTTAGCCATTACACAATGCGTGTAAGTGCTTTCTTACCGTCATGCTTCTGAAAGACAATGCTAAAAGTGCTCATGACAAATCAAATTTCCAAAATACGAATTTAAATAAAACATAAAACAGGTTCAGCTGTTACACCACTGAAAGAAAGTGCAGAGGGCACTCACAATTTGTTTGGTGAAATTAAATTTAATTTGTATTCCATACAATAAAATTTAACAGACACATATGGGTGTAGGGAGTTACATAGAGAATCAATGTAATTTCCTTTTTACCTGAGCTGTTAAGAAAATCAAATTTGTATTTTGCAAGAAAATGTATGTGGTATGGATGTTAATGAAGAGTATTAATAAAAGCAGTTCATGCAACAATTAATAATAACATTAATAACCAATCCTCCACCACTGAGGTTAGATTTAAAATAATCTGACATCCAAGTAACTTACATAATCATTCCACACCTGAAAGAGAATGGGGAAAAAAAATTTTACTTCCAATAACATTCAAGTAATTAGTACTAAACATACAAAATTGTCAAACCACCTTTCAGGGCTGTGGAGTCGGAAGCAATTTTTGGTGGAGTCGGAGTTGGTAAAAATGTACCAACTCTGACCTCGATATAAAATCTTAAGAACAATTTCTATACCGTGTGAGTAACGTTGAGCCACATGGTGTGGGGAAAAAATGCTTTGTAACTTTGGCTCTGGTACCTTAAGAATACAAACCGTCCACAAATCAACCGATTCCTGCAATAACCATTAGACATATATTTAAATATACGTTATAACTCTAAATAGTAGGCTGATGATTCACGTGGTGGTGATGAAATCTCTTATGGTGTCATTTACCATTTGAGTAGGATTACCCTCATTAACACATATTGAGCTTTTATGAAGGAGTCGAGGTCGGAGTCAGAGATTTTTGTACCGACTACACAGCCAATTTAAAATATAACAAATGTCACTGTAAATTAATATTACTCACCTCAATGACTCTGTTCTTGGGTGGACGACCTCTCTTTCTCCGGAACATGCCATCAATTGAGGTAGCAAGGTGAGTCATAGTAAGTGGGTCCTTGGTTAGGCTTAATTTACGTGAATACTCATGCATTTTGTAGTGATCCAATCGCCTGAATGGTTTGTCAGAGGGAAGAATCACTTCTCGACAGTTGTCCTAGAAATAATAAAGTGAAAGAGATTACAAGGAGCTCTACAGTCCATGGCCTGCAAGGGGTGCCCAATTATATAAAAGTAATCTCCATTTCCCATAAATTATATCCTGACCATAGTTATGTTATGAAATTTACAGCTGTAACATTACAAGCTTGTGACATATCACAATTTTTGGATAAAGATAAGAATGATTATGATCAGAAAAAGGTTAGCATCATCATTAGCCTGCTTTGAGGTAAACTTTAGGTTTAAGAGGTTTGAGTGAAGAAAGACATTGGGAAGTTGATTTTCTGTGTTGAACCCTTTGTATTCTATCTGCACATAGAAACTTATCTACCATTAACCAATTTTAGGCTAAATATGGAATACACATTTCATCAAAAAGCTGTATAAGTTATTATTTTGATGGCTGAACTTAAAAACTTCTGCAGTTTTGAAAGCTGTCTAGTAAAATGTATGGACACTTGAGTGATGATAAAAGATGACTACGGTATGAAATTGGTGAAATTATGATTAGAACTTGACAAATCCATTTTGTCTTCCACACAACTCACACAGAGTCCTTGGACCTGAACCTGTACCTCATTGGTGAAATGTCGGGACCTGTCTACATAACCTGTAGTCCATATTCAGTTTAGTGTATAATCAAGAACCTCAGAAACACAGAAGCTCTATTAGATAACTGTATGAAAGTCAGTTTAAAAGTAAGACAGAGTAAAAATCAATAAAACTACAGCTAATACAGCCACTGATGATATGGCAGATTTCAAACAACTGCAAATGATAGGAACAGACCAAACTGCATACAAGAAGAAGTCTAAGAGCTGACATAATTCAGTGAATGCTTGCTACCATTCAGTTGGAAATTTTCTGTCTTCCTGTTTAACATAAAATGTATAGATTAAAATGTACAGAAATACTATAACTGCATATGAAAATATGAAATATCATTCCAGTTGAAGAGAACATCGGTTGCTGAGGGGATGGCAGGAATAAAATTAGCAGGAAATTTTACCCATCATTTTGTATGGATGTGAAACTTTGAAGGTGTTTGAGAACAAAACGACGATGAGAATATTTCTAACTACAAGGGAAAGAAATGGCAGGAAGTTGGGAAACATGCATAATGAGGATCTTCATAATTTATACTGTTCACCAAACATTATTCAGATGATCAAATCAAGGAGAATGAGATTGGACAAGCATGTGGCATGCATAAGAGAGATGAGAAGTGCATAGTGGAAAGACTAAAGGAAAGAAACCATTGGAAGATCTATATGTAGAAGGTAAGGTAATGGATTTTAAAGAAATAGGGTGTGAGGGCATTCACTGAAATAATCTGGTTCAGAACAGTTTTCGGTGGCAGGCTCTTGCAAACATTGAAATAAAGTTTCAGGAAGGAATCCACCTCCATACAGTTAGTTAAGAAGCTCACCCATGTGCAATGATAGTGCTTTTCTTTGCCCTGATATGGACAATCCTCCTCACACTGGCAGTTAGGTCCTTCTTGTATTGCCTCTGCTGTGATGTAGAAGATTTCACTCACTTGTTCCTGTTGCTCATGATTGCGGGCATGTTCTCTAACTCCATCCATGGACCTGAAACAAATAAGAATGAATATCACTGTAACACAAATACGATACCTGTACCAATATCCATCAACTTTTCAACTCATTTCTCGTGTTCATATAACTCAAAAAAGCTCAAGTTTAAAAAAAATTGTTTATCACTTAGAAAATTAGCACATGACATAAAATATTGAGATTGTTCACTGTGACAAATATTTAAATAAAAATTACAAAAATAATTTGTAACTTTGTGTCTGTAATGCAATAGGCTATGAAGGATTACATTTGCATACACAATAAATTAAAATCAAGCCCAAAGAGGTATGCGGAACACCGTACAACTCTTAAGTACAGCTTTTAGCTGTTGAATTTCTTGGCTCCAAGTTTTATAATCACCACTGTACATAATATGTTCCTTGTTTAGTTGATAAGTTCAATCATTAGTAAGCTGTTCTTTAAGTATAACAATTGCACGCATCTACAACAGTAAAATGCGCTAAAATACACATACCTGAAAATCATTTCACAGCCTTCAGCCAAGCAGTGGTAATGTTCTTTAAACAGCATCTCACACTGTCCACCCCCAGCACACTTGTCAGTTGCATCAGACCTTGCCAAGTACTTTTGCCAGAAATCTTCACTGGCCCAGGGAGGGACCGAGTTTGCCGTTGCCGAAACTGATGACAACTCGCTACTAAGGTCCATGGCTGACATAGACTGCTCATGTGAAAGTGGATGCACTGCATATTGTGGAGAAGGGTGTGGGCCACCATTACCACCAGCAGGACCCTCAATACCTGCCAAACATACATAGAACCACATCAGGAAATGCCTCAACATTTGTATATTATTTATTTTATAACAAGTATTGTACACTTGTCCTATTCAGAACCATGCTGTTTTCTAAGATAGTTCTTCACTATGTGAAATATTCTTTCTTTCTATGACATGTACCAGTTCTTCATTTGTACCATAAAATATCTTAACAGATAATCATATATTGATGATTTATATTTTTAAAATTTTTAAATAGCTAAACAACTTTTCTAAGCTCTGTACTAGATAACGGTGTATGATACTCAAAACAGTAATTGGCAGCAGTTAAGTTAACTGAATGTTCTCTCCAGGAGCCACATACATCTCATACTTAAACACAGATTTCAAAATAATCTTTCCAAAAATGACCCCAATTGCCAAAAAACCTTAAAATGTCATAGTATAATATCTGAAGAATTAAACAGATACAGATTTTGTACATATATTCAGCAGAATAGTCAAAAACTTTTGTTCATCTGTGCTTAGCCTACAGATTTAAACCGGCATTATACATGCTAGAAAATGCTACTCTGTAAATTGTAATTTCTAGCATCAGTATTTGAAAGTACGTGTATTTCCTTCCAGTCTCTCTCTCTTTCCCCCTTCCAGAGCCCTATATTTTCAGTTCAGACATCATTAACTTATTAAGTTCCATGTGACATATGGTTATAAGGAAATGTAAAGGCAAAATAAAGGTCTTCGTTAAATATTTTTTATAAGAATTTGAAATTTATATACAAAAATAATTAGGTTTCCTCAACATTCCAACAAAATATAAATCACAATTCCATAAATGTTTTCTCCTCCCCCCACAACATTAGCTACACCATTTTTAAAATCATGACTGCCAGTACCCGCAAAAGGATGTCCAAATTTTGTTGGAAAAGGTGATGGAGGAATGTTGATGGTGGGGGACTGCCCGCCACCGCCATCACTTGATGTCTCGCCATTGCTGTGAGGTTGACTGCTTTCCTGTGTTGAACCTGATGCACCAGTATTAATTGAGCTTGGCCCCTGCTGGATTACTGATGTTGGCATTGACGAGCTAAGTGAACCATCAGGCTGCTGACTCAACTGAAACATGCCCCACAATTTTAAACAGTCCACCACACAGGAAAAAAGAAACAGAAAATGTGTAAACACAAGAGAGTAAGAGAACTGAAAATGTGCACTGCTGTGCAAGATTGTAGTATAATATACATGAGTTAAGTAATTATAATAAAATTACAGGGTTCAGTGGTTAGCATCACAAGTTCTGCCTGAAATTCGTAGAATTTAAAACAAGCAACTGGATTCATCTGATTCTGATAACTGATAAGAACAAGCAGCATCTAGTAAAACAGATTCGGTGACATACATAGATGATTTATAGCGCCACACGGCGACTATGTAAAATAAAATCTTCTCGGGCTATCGGCCGCATCAAGTGGTTAAAACATGAAAAGACCAACGTTTCGAGGTCCACCTCTGTTCTTGTCCTGGACCTCGAAACCTTGGTCTATTCATGTTTTAACCACTTGACGTGGCCGATAGCCTGAGAAGATTTTATTATACTACAGTTGTATCAAATGAACTTATATAATTTATCTTCTCACCTGGTCATTGAATGCTTGAAGCATGTTTGGACTAAGTTGTGGGGGTTGAGAACTGTCACTACCTCCAGCAAAAGTTTTCATCATACTTTGAGCAAGTTTGAATTTGCGATAGGCCATTTCCGAGTCTTGACGCTCGTGTTTGCGCTTGTGGCTGAAGAGCTGTCCACTGGAATGCAGCACGTAGTTGCAACCTGTGCGGATGCAATGGATATGGTTGCAAACACGGGAAAATCTACAGCTCTCAAAGGAGCACATTTCATGCTTCATGAACTTCTTAAATCCATCTCGACTCAGTTGCTCATCTTTGATGTGGTACGTCTTGTGCTTTTCTAAAAACAAAAACAACATTTAAAAAACGTATAAAACTACAAGCAAGGACTGTAGTACTGAAAAGGCTCCTTACTTTCACCAAAATAATACAAAATGTATGGTAGATTCAGATATTTTAAGCCCTATGGTGTATAATAGTTTTTGCATATGATTTGGTATTTAGAGAAAGATACATAAGTAAATAAAGCATATCCAGGACAAGATTTACATGAAGGACGGCATATTACTAACATTTGAATCATTAGAAGAATAAGTTATTTTGAGAATTACAAACTGAATCTGCTACTGAACCTAATAACAGTTATAGAATAAGCTGCAAACTGTATGTCACAGCATAGATTATTTCAAGATGGGTACACAGACTTTAATACATAAGTGTAATGATATGTGTATGAAAATGTGAGAAAAATGGCCCGAGTTCTGTAAAAAGTCTAAATTTGAAAGAAAGGGAAGGATAAATGTAATTCAATACACTGTGTTTCAAAAGTAGCTTTACAACTTCGCAGGAGAATATAAATTGATTTAAAGGACGGCACTGTGTATCTGGACATGCTCCAACAGTTCCTCATTCCTCAACTTGACGAAGATGACCAGGAAGGACGCAATCACTTGCAGCGAGATGGTGCACCCCCTCATTACCTCGGAGAAGTGCGCGAGTACCTCGACAACTGTTTCCCAGGTCGGTGGATTGGTCCGGCTGCACCAATAGCACAGCCGCCTCGTTCCCCGGATCAAACACCTTTAGATTTTTTCTTGTGGGGATTAGTTAAAGATCGAGTGTACGTGCCACCCTTACCTGTAAATGTAGCCGAACTCGAATTACCTCCGCAGTTGCTGAAGTGACACAGGAGATGCTACACCACGTGTGGCAAGATATTGACTACAGATGGGACATCTGCCTCATAACAAATGGAAGTCTCATTGAACCTTAAAAATCCGATGGACATAAAACTTGAAGTGTCTGAATACATTTCTATGTTCCAAAATTATATGTTTCTCCTATCAGTTCACCAATATCTCACCCTCAAGTTGTAAAGCTACTTTTGAAACATGCTGTATTATTATGTATGGTTTTGGGCCACTAAAACACTGGAATTACTTGTCTGGATCTTCAGGCATTAATATGGACTACTTCCCTCTGCACTGTCGAGTTGTGCTAGAGGCCTTTGGATTCATCCCCAATTCCGGAGTCCTAGTCTTGGTCTAAAAACTATTAATAGTTCCTCCACAATGAAGGAAGTTAAGGAACGAGTCAGTGACCCAAGTAGTGAAGTGGTACCAAGAATGTAGCATACACATACCCATATCAGCCTTGTTCTTGAAGGTGTACTTGCAGTTGTCTCGCCTACAATGGAAGTGCGTGGTTCGTTGACCAAAGAACGAACAATAAGCTGCCCCACATTCCTCAGTTGCTCGGAATCGCTGGAACCCTTCCTGGATGATGGCGGAGTCCTTACGATGGTAGTTCGCGTGCATCTGAACATCCGAAGTGCTTATGTACACCTTGTCACAACCCTCCTATAAAGATAAAACAATGGATACATCATAATGAAGTCCCATTTTAACTCTTTATGAAAAATATAATTACATATAAATTACACTTCACAGAAACAAAATTTATTTAGCCATATAATTAATGTCTTCTATCTCTCATGAAGGGAGTAGCAATATTCGTGTTATATGGAAAACATGCACATAGTGAAATCTGCAGGAAATTAACATGAATGCTCTATAGCAGTGTTTCTCAACCTATGGTATGCGTACCATTGGTGGTATGCGAGCCAATGCCGAGTGGTATGCAAATAAACAAAAACAAAAGTTAGTATTGACATAAATAACAGTTTTCCCTGAACGCATTTGGTTAGCGGTACATTTAATGTGTTAAATTAAAATTAGTGGTACGCCAGCTAAAAAGGTTGAGAACCCATGCTCAACAGATATTATAACGCGAGTAGATATCGATAATTGACTATGTAAGATACGAAGTCTGTTTTGGAATATACATACATAAAGTCTAATCAGAAATGCCTAACCTTGGAGCTTAAATGTCATTTTCCGAAACTGAATCCGGAAAAATAAATGTTTGTAATTGCCTGTGATTCAGACAAACCCCTAATGCAGTGGTCCCCAACCTTTTTGTGCCTACAGGCACATTTGAGTGTTTATGAGATCGTGGCGGGCACCAACCAATTAACAAAGCCAAATTTTCTTTTCTCTGGACAAATAAGATACGGACACCAAATAATACACAAAACAACACGACGTTTAATGATATAAGAAACAATGCAATCAAAAATACGTAGTTTTATAAGTACAATTATTATTACTCAAGTGTGGAGTTAGTGTGATGTTTGACACTGCATTTCATCGGCCAGTTTTTCAAATTTGGGAGTGTAGGATGACGTTGCTGCTCGCAAACAATCGTCAAGATGGGAGATCTGCGCTTTTATTTTATAATGTTCATGGTTGAACGGCTTTCATTATTCAGTATAACCTCTTTCCGTAACAACGCGGGCACCCAAACAAAGCCTTGGTGGGCACCATGGCGCCCGCGGGCACCGCCCTAATGAGTACAGCCCCAACACATTACACTGCAGGTAACTTGCTTCATTAAAGACCAACAAGTACAAATAATGCAAAATCTGCTCAATGCAACTTATTAACATAAAGGTAGTAAAATTTGTACTTTGTTACAAAGCAGCAGAAAATTATTAAAAATACCTAGACGCTGAAGTGAAATATAAACATGTCACAACAAATATTGCTTGCTTCATGTGCACAGCATACATACAACAGAGTGAAGAAATATTAGCACATACTTTAACACTAAAATATCTCTACCTTGATGCAGTGGTAGTGAGTCTGCTTGCGATTATGACTGCAGCCCCTGTATCTATCGGAACAGTCGTCCATTGGTGAATACCTCATGAAGCCATGCTGTAGAGACTCATCTCGCTTCTTATGCCACTTAAAGTGCCGGATCATTTCTTCCTTCTTGACGAAGACCCGCGAATTACAGTCGAGGCAGTGGAAGTGTTCCCTGTAACAAAACAAATGATATCAGTACAAGGATAAAGTTCTACTGGACATCAAAAACCAAGACAGGTGACAATGAAAGTTGGGATAATATAAACCTGAACTGTCCACTCTTTTTCCCTAAATTATGTTCCTCTTAAAAAGTTGGTACCCACCTACAGGTCTACACAGCATCACAACGTTGAAGACCATCACAAACAAAATTTCTCTCCAATTTACCTGTAACTGAGATCCTTGCAGTACGTGCTCCCACACTCCAGAGCACTTCCAAACCTCTTGACATATCTGGAATAGTCTATTGGTACAGCTGCCTTCGCATTGTTGCTGCCATCCCTTGCAGGGCTCATGGGAGAAACACGGTGGCCTGGCAACACGCCGCCTACAACAACATTAAACAATATATTCTTAAATTATTCAAAGGACTGGTAGAATTCAAACACCCCATACTAAAATGAAAGTGATAACATAAAAAGTGTTTCCTTCTTGTTTATTGTTAATTTAATTTATGTTTCTTACAAAATACGTGCAAAGGATGGAGGAGGAAAGGTTACCAAAGAAGACTATGAAATGGCAACCGAAAGAAGGAAGAGAGGGAGACCAGGATGGAATGACAGAATTATAAGAACCATGATAGAGTGGAAACTACCTCCGGAATGATGGGAAAATAGAGAAGAATGGAAGAAAATATTAAGCACCGGAAGACCGAAGTAACGGTGAAAAAACGGAGGAAGAAGAAGAAGACAAAATATACTTACAAAAGCAATGTCTGATGTATGTGCCATATGGAGGAAACTTAATGAGGTAATCAACTTTACAGACGACAACATTTCAGTCCTCAAGAGGGCGACAGAAATCTTTCTATCATCATACAAGAATAACTCCCAGGTCTTTTATGTAACACCTACTTGCCCCTCATACATGTTATTTTGTGTGATACGCTGAGGTACGATAATGCATGTATTACTTCCACGTCCATCATGCACCATTAACCTCAAAACTATTGTTTTTACATTCAATCATTTGAAATAAATAAATGATTGACAACTCTTTTGAAATTATTATTTAATAATACTTTCTTATTCTTTTACCGGTTTAACAATGTTTTCTACATATATATCACGAATGTAACAGGGACTCAGAATAAACATGCTGGTGTTAATTTTTCCATTCAATGAAAATAAATATAAAAAGACATAGATAAATTACTCGCTGCATACAATTAAAAGTGTCATTTCTTAACATAATCTCCCATGTTGTAAATATCTTGTCTCAGCACTTATTGTCCCAGACTCTGGTAGTAAAATGACAGTCTGTCCTGACGGCTACGTAACCTCTTCACACTAAACTTTTTATTGGTGATTGTAGGTTATTTAATGGCATTCTTTCAACTGCAGAGATAACGAAGCACTGAATAAGATGAAAAAAATAATCATGTACTGTGGGTGGTTATGAACTATTCCATGGTAGCATCGAGGCATTTACCTAGAGAGACTGAAGAACATGACGAAAATCAAGAAAAAGTGTTGCCTGTTCGAGACTGGAGAACCACCGAATTAAAATACAGATACAACAACGGGCTCATCGGTCACTTTGTTCTCAATGTTCTTCTATGCATTGCGGATTTGAAAACCCAAACAATAAATCTATAATCTACCATCAAACAAGTCGACTCCAAATTTTAACTGATGACCAGTGGTGGTGTTATAATTACTGATTACATTATAATCAAAGTCGAGCATTCAAAATTTAAGTGAAGTTGCCATATAGAAATTTAACCTTCTGCTCATAGACTACGCTTTTACAACGTACCACAAATATTTACTCCTAACTTCCCGTTGATTGTACACCATTAAGATGCACTACCACAACATTTGTATTTTCATGTTTGTTTTGAATTTGCAAAATTAATTAACGTTAGATATTAATGGATGCGGAGAAGTCAAAACCAAGAATAATATAAAGCTTGTAATTGATGGTGTCTGTTGGTACTAATTATAACCAGACAGGAAATAAAGAACCGTATGTTCAAGTTCGCTAATCGTATAACGTTCAATAATAATTTACTTTTAAAAACTGTTCAAAGAAAAGACAGTAGAAAATATGGAAATTAAATACACAATTCATTAAACACTCGCCAGAAAGCGCATATGTCCCGAAACGAACAGTTTTTATAGGACCATCGAAACAAAAATACGAAGACAGTGACAAGTCTTCCAAGTTGAACTTGAAGAGGCAAATGCCCTTGAAAGAAACCAGTTTTCAAAAGAATTATTATTACTTTTCAAAAAGAAATGAAGAAGAGATACAGACTCCTTCGGGCTATTCCTTTCAAATTTAGGCGTCTTAACTTTTTTTCACACTACACACTGGATTCAATGATCAGGCTTTTTTCTCTCTTTTTAAAGAGATAATATCCTAAAGGAACGCGCTGGTTTCACTTTACCAAAAAGAAGAATAAATGTACACCCTATCCTGTATTTCTACCCACTCATTCTCCTTCATATTACCAGCTAAGGTTTCATAAAAGAAAAATTCATGAGAATATAATATTATTTCGAGTCTACTGAAATCTATCCTTTTAAGGTTGTAACACAGAGAAAAGTATTTGGAATATATGACAATAAGCCTTCCATAGCCAAACCTGATACATTGTATGGAACAATCTAGATTCTTAATGTGTCAGTTGTGAAGCTCGCATTTTGTAAAGACTAGTTCCATTTTCGAACAGACTAGTTCCATTTTCGAACATCCGTAGACCCATTTCAGTATAAATATGACGGACGGCCAAACAAAGAAAATTATGGCTAAAGGGTTTCACATATGTAACAAATTAATGCAAGAAAAACTTGGGGGGGGGGGGGGGGGAGTAAACAAAGTATAAGAGGTTCGCAATTTTTGTATTTTAAATGCACATTGGTATCCGTTTGCTTGAATAAAATATACAAGCCCTTGTCACTGTAACTGAAACAAAAGGCTCTGAACATACAGAAACGGATAATAAATGTTGGCGTTAATCACCATATGAAAGATCCAGTTTGAATCATCTTCAGTAGCGTGGTGCACCGCTGACTACAAATCATCATCAACCCATCATTTCCGATTTGTCAAGCGTCGTGGCATCTATTCAGTTACTTGATAATGCAGCATAATCGTGCATGCAGTATTCTTACCAACATTTTAGTTAACAAACCTGCACACTACTGTGTACAAAAACCAAACACATACGCACGGTTTATTTTCTATGACTATGTTTTACGAACATTCTGTGGACCCCACAATTTTTCCAAAACTGATGAGTGCTACGCCTTCCTGCAGTTTCAGTTAATCATCAGTCCTATGTATGCTACATGCCCCGCCAATCCCACCTGTATGACTTCATAACAGTATTCTCTGAAGAGCACAATTTTTCCCACCTTCTTGTTACTTACTTCCTCTTTGGTTCAAATATTTTATTCATCGCCCTATTCTCAAATATCATTAATCTACATTTTTCCGTTTACGTGAAATACCGAACTACACACTCATACGGAACAGCCGAAACTGCGCAAAATAATGAACATTCTTTACTTTCTTACAAATATTGCATTTACTGGGCTTTTTATTTTATAACCCTCTCACAACGGCTGGTTTACAATGTAACGTAAAAATGCGAAGATAGATCTTAATAAGAATCGTTCCACAAGATAAACATAACCATGTCTGCAGAAGTTCGCCAATCCGCTAATTGGAACACATCACTGTCACGTTCGAAATACTACAACTGAACACTTGTAAGCACCAAAAAACGAGTTAACGTGTGGGAAAGGAAAAGCATTTCGCCCCAAACCAACAGTCCTCGACATGAACGGATGTGACACTATATAATTATGTATGATATGATGACTGGAATGTTTCGCTAAATCATATGTCCTCACCCATTCCTGTATCCGACAACGTTTAAACCGGGTGCCTTTGCTCGCAAACAGAAAGTTCGGACTAGAGTAACTACGTCATCTATCAATCTTAACTCTACTAAACACTGCCATTGTGTGACTAATTCACATTATACGGCTTTAATGAAGACAAATTTCTTCGAAACGAATTGTTTTATACTTATTCTAACTGGCGACAGTACGACATACTGTCTTTTGTTTACGATTTGTCTTACTTATTTGCATTTTTTCATGGTTTATTTAACGACACTATCAACAGCTTATATTAGGCCCATATAGCGTTGAATCATAGGATGATAGTGAATAATGAACTGGAAAGGGTAGGCAAGGAAGTGATACTGGCTTAATTTAAGGCACTATTCTCGCACTTGCTTGGATGGACTGGGGAAAACCACGAAGAATCTGAGAATAGTCAGACTGCGGGCTGAGATTAAACTCGGAATCTCTTTGAATAAAAAAATCAGGAGCGTCGACCGTGGCTTAGGAAAGTCCAAGAGCGGAAATAATTGGTCTGAACCTCAGTATGGAGTAGGCCAGGCAAGTAAACCTCGAGGCCCTGATGATGGAAGCAACAAGCACCTCTGAAACGTCTGTAAACTTCTTCCAGACTACATGGTCTAAATAACCCAGACGACATCCACCGTCAGTGTATCTGACACGCTTGAAGCATGCCCGCGATTTAACGTAAACAGCTGGCCGAAATGTTCTTTGGAGGTAAAAAATCTATCAATTGGTTTGAAAAATATTCTTCACTGGAGATGTATCAACAGAATGATCATATCAACAGTTGTTCTTTTCACAGCTCTGGGGGAAAAGTTAAAGTTTTGAGTTTCATTTATACAGAGTGATCAAAAAGTCACGCAATCCACATTCAAATATTTATGGGTTGAAACACACACCGTCGCTGTGACTATTAAGCAGCCCACGCAGATCATGCCATGCTGTAACTTGCTATCGCCAGCCAGCCAGTCAGTTGTCTTCAGTCGAAGTTAAGGGACGTCTTTTTCAAGAGTGCAAAAAATTTTCATTGTCTCCTGGCATCTCGTTCTGAGGGACACGTTTCTCGAATCCTCTGTACCAAACAAATCGACAATATGTCGTCCAGTGAACCGATTCCGTGACAAAGGTTGAATAAACGAGGAAATTTCTGTGGACATTTTCATTGCTTAATATCCAACTGTCTTTTGTTTTCGGATTTCATTATAATTTATTTTTTAAGAAATTGAACATGTTTCAGGAATGGGTTGCATGAATTTTCGATCAATATGCATTACTGAAGTTGAATATTTCTGTCTTCTGGGTTGTTGCGCTGTGTAGTCTGGTCGATGTTAACCAACGTTTCAGAGGTCATACTGCCTCCGTCATCAGGGTGATTCTTAGTATGAAGATTTCTGTCTTCTGGGTTGTTGCGCTGTGTAGTCTGGTCGATGTTAACCAACGTTTCAGA